GAACCTCTTCCATTCACTCTCCTGTTTACCCTACCTGTCCTCTCGATTTGTCTTTGCCGCCCGTTCTTTCTTCTCGTCCTCGCCGCCCATCCCGTCCTCCTTCCGTCCTCCTCCCGACCTCTCACACCGTCTTCCCTGGGCGTGCGTAATCCTCTCTCAATTTCCTCGCCATCCCAGCATGACAGCATACTCTGCTCACCCCATCCCCTTCGTTTGTCCTACGGAGACGTCTTCATCCCCCTCTTTGCCCGGCGCTCCTCCCTGGCCGCTCTTTACATCAGTTATCCCTGCCCGTCTATCCTGCCCCCAGTCCGTTCCTCTACCTGTCCCCGTCGCCCGTCGGTCGTCCTTGCCGCGCAATTACGTCCGTCGTCTCTGTCCGTTTCCCCACACCAATTCCTGACTTTTCCTCTTACCTATCACCCTCAAAACCAATCCTCCCTGCCTTTTCTTCGATCATACCTCCATCACGCGTTTCTCACCGCGCCACTTTTCCCTCTCCTTCCGTCCTTACTGCGATGTTTCCGTCCTTCGCAGGCGAGGCCTTGCCTCCGCTGCCCCACACGAGGACCTCGATTGGCGGCCTCTAGAGGCGCCGCGGACATCTCCTCTGCTGCCCTCCGCGGCCCCTTCCCCAGCGGGTTAGGCTGTTTAGCCTGGAATCAACAACTGTTCGTATTGTGAGAGCGAAGTTGTTGTGACAATATCTGTGGAGACTAGTTCTGGAATAACATTTCTCGTATCAATAATCTATTGATTCTGATCCTTTACATTTGTCTGGAAAGATAAGAAGATTGTGAATTGTGATATTGCGTCTTTGGAGTATACAATTACATATTGTTCATAGCCAAAATATTTTAAATAATTTTCGAACCCTTTTGATGTTGTAAAAGTTACAGCAGTATTGGAAATGTAATTTAACAGTCGTCTCCAAATTCATACTGGAATTCGGAGAATATCAAGAGTGGGACTACGAACTTCAGAAAATTGAAAAATAATTGAAAGAACATTTATATATTTAGCTGTGTTTTTTTAACATTTCCTGCAAATTTGCGTGACGTGTTTTCAGGTTTTGTGGTGCGGTATCTTTTGAACGTTTCTATACTTTTGTCAGAGACACAGTTGCATGTTGTTTTCAAGATTACTTCCACATTTACTTTTTCTCTAGAGGTACACAACTGATCTCTACGTACACACTAAAATAAGACCTATTCATGGGTAGGCCTAATTGTAAAAGAACACTTGAATTTCCTCAAGCGACCATGCACGGTGAGGGTTTGAATAGTTTTGAAAACATACGAAAATTGCTTAAAGTGAAAACTAACGGTTGAGATAAGTTCCAAAATAGCAATGAAACTGTAATTAACACCTGATACACAATGATAAATAATGAAATAGTAATCTCTTTCCTAACCAAAAATGAATCATTTTACGCCACTTTGAAAATTCTTTTAATACGTTGCATACATGATAACAGAAAAATCGTTCTTGTCAAAACACCATGTTCGGCAAAAATATCAGATAGTGCCTTGTCATCCTGAGAATGTATGCCGGGGTTATTGTCCTTCACGTGTCTTCCGTCCCTCCCCCCGCAGCGCCACCAAGGCAGCAGCCGCCTCCCGGAAGCCGTGGGCAGTGGGGCCGAGGGCGCGTATATAAGAACGGCGTGTTATTGAAAAGGGATGGGGCGCGCGGTGAGCTACTCGGGGCGGTCCCGCGGGGCCACACGAGACAAAGCAGCGGCGACGCCGGCCCGGCCCAGCCCGGCCCGCGGGACGCCTTCGCCGCGCACTTTATCGGTCGTTGCGCCGACAACAACGCCCCCTTCGCATGTTGGGTAACGCCCGCCCTCGCGCCGCCCCCGCGCCGCCCCCGCGCCGCCCCCGC